GGTAGGATTGTGGCATATCTTCACTCCATCCACTGTGTTACAGTACCTTTTGTCTTCCTCTGTCTCTGTATATATAATAGCATCAAAATATTTTTATTAGGAATGATCATTTAGAATTTTAGATATTTTTGGATTTCTCTAGCTTTCAGAAATGTTATTGGATATATTGCAGCATGCATAATGGGGATACATTAAAAGGTCACACAAAAATAGTATTATATCATTTTAACCAAAACAAAAAAGCACTGACGACTCTATTGCACTCACAAGATAGATTTAAAATGTACAGCTTATGGGGGCCAATGATAACTTCAGGGTCTAGTTACTTCTCAGTTACGTTCATATCATCAATCTATTGAGGGGAGACTCCTATATCTATGTTATTGGATATAAGGACTTTTTAAAGCCAATTCATGAAAATCTGTTTGAACTCTAAGGATAGAACAGGTATTACATTAACTAACTTAGTTATCTGAGCAGTGTCATTCAGGTGCTAGAAAAGAATAGAAACATACAGTAATCACATGCGCTAAACAACGTCAATATTTAGTTGGGAAATATTCAGAGCCACAGTTGCCTAAATGCTATGAAATTCCCAGTATCCTGTAGAACCATGTACATTGTCGTAGCCGCAGTCATTTCAGGTTTTGAAAATCTTCAGCCTGATGTCAAAACAGCAGAGGGGAGTTGGTCTCTGTTAGACTCAGGTCGCTGGGTAGTTAATATGTCCTGTAAATTAAGAGATGAATGAATATTAGGCAGAGGTGGATGGATTATGGCTCACATGCTAGTTTTGCTGGCTATAGACATGACTGGATATAACAAGTTAATTTCTGGGTATTTCACTTTGTCTATTAAAATTTTACTTGTCAAACTTAACCTCGTATAACACACAATATTGCTGCATAGCTTCATTCCTTTCTACCTCCAAATGTGGTCATTTTTACCTTTCTGTGGTCATGCCTCATTTCTAATTTTGCAGGGTGCTCTCTAATTTATGACAAATCCAGAGTATAGGGACATGCTCATTAACCTATAGAAAGGAATATGGAAACTACCTTCTGAGTCCCTCCAAACATATCTGAAGAATTATTTCCAAACGCCTCTGGTCCTACGCGTTTCGTATCGGTCAAACAGAACATCCTTAAGGGACCTCACAATTAAAATACAATTTACAGAGTCAAATAAGCAGTACAAAAAGCCGCTAGCGCTGGCGGCTTTTTGTACTGCTTATTTGATTCTGTAAATTGTATTTTAATTGTGAGGTCCCTGACGAAGTTCTGGTTGACCAGAACGAAACGCGTAGGACCAGAGGCTTTTTAAAAATAAATTACTTTTTTTTTACCTTGATTCTTGCTTTCTCCTGTTTCCTAAACTGGGAAGGAGATAAAAGGGGATTGGGACAATAACCCCCCTCTGCAGGGGTGGCACCATCAAGGCGATTTGATTTACTTCACACTTTGAGTGCTTCCAAAAACGTGTCTACATATATGCCTTATATGGTTTCACACTATGTATTGTTTATTTCTTTATGGGCTATGACAGCGGTTTCCCATATTTTATGTGAATATGTCAATCCTGCAGCCTTATTATTTTAAGATGTGCGTAGCTCCTCCATTTCAAGATATATTCCCGGCTCCCTACACATATTTCAGCTGATTAGATCAGTGTTTTAGAAACTAATTTTTAAATCCCAGTCAGACAACTTAACCAGTAAGTGTCACTGGGCAAGACACCTAACAATATATATCCTCATACCTCAAATCCATATAGATTGTAATTTTGAGCAGGGCTTTATTCATGTTTCCCAGATATCCCTATCCATCACTGTAAAACGCTGTGGAATGTGTTGGCACTATATAAATAGTAATAATAATATTTGAAAAGCATTGATTTGGAACAAACGTGAACTGGGTCGTGTAAGTTGTTATACCATGTCACAAACACTCCTAAAGTTCTATATTTATTGTGTTTTTTTTTTTTTTTTTACATCATTTATATAGAAGTTGATGTTTTTGAACTACATATCCTATGGTGCTCAGCACAAAAAAACAGCAATGAGTGTAACTGGGGTTGTTTATATATTTTATTATAATTTTGCTGCTGTAATGTTGTTTGGGAGTTACATAGCTGAAAAGAGACTTGCGTCCATCAAGTTCAGCCTACCTCACATTTGTTTTTTGCTGTTGATCCAAAAGAAGGCAAAAACAAACAGTTTGAAGCACAATTTTGCAACAAGCTAGGAAAAAATGCCTTCTTTACCCCAGAATGGCAGTCAGATTTATCCTTGGATCAAGCAATTATTACCCTACATTGAAAGATTATATCCTTGAATATTCTGTTCTTCCAAGTATGCATCTAGTAGCCGTTTGAACATCTGTATGGACTCTGATAAAACCACTTCTTCAGGCAGAGAATTCCACATCCTGATTGTTCTTACAGTAAAAAAAACCTTTCCTTTGCCTTAGACGAAATTTTCTTTCTTCCAGTCTAAACGCATGGCCTCGTGTCCTATGTAAAGTCCAGTTTGTGAATGGATTTCCACACAATGGTTTTTATTGGCCCCAAATATATTTGTATAATGTTATCATATCCCCTCTCAGGCTATGTTTTTCTAAACTAAATAGGTTTAAATTTGTTAACCTTTCTTCATAGCCGATATGTTCCATTCCTTTTATTAATTTTGTAGCCCGCCTCTGCATTTTTTTTAGTGCCATAATATCCTTAAGTTTATTTGAAATATTTTTTAAAGGACTGTCTAGGCTCCAAAACAACTTTAGCTTTATGAAGCAGTTTTAGTGTATAGATCCCTGCAGTATCATTGATCCATTCTCTGCCATTTAGGAGTTAAATCACTTTTGTTTGTAGAGCCCTTGTCACACTTCCTACATGTGACATGCACAGCTTTCCTAAACACTTCCTGTAACAAGATATTTAATGTGTATACTTCTCTTATTACACGGTCTGTTTAATTTAGAATTATTTATCTCCTGCTCTGTTAATAGCATGCTAGACCATGTTGGAGCCTCCTGTGAGTGATTAGTGTTCAATTTATAGAGCATGAGATAAAAACGTCTAAAATAAGCTAACATCTGATCTACTGTTGAAGCAAAACTTTAACCCACCCCATTGTTAGCTTAATTTGCTCAATCCTTGTAGACAGAATTTGGAGTATTACCATACAGTTCAAAGTTTCATTATTGAATCTCAATACCCCTATCTAAATCATAATGAAGTCCAGGGAGGAGATTTTGCATTATTGAAAGGTTTGTTTACACCTACCACACATGATGGAAATTAGAGTCCTTTAAAAGTGGAGTTTTGTATTGTTAGCCGGACCAAAGCTACGGTTCAAACAGTTGCTAAATTGGTCCTGTCTTTGGTTATGCTGCTATGGCTTTTAAACATACAATTCAATGTGTCCCTTTTTAAATGATCGACTTGCTTGAGATGCTAATGTATAAAATGGCTATTCTAGATGCACTTAAGAACAGACACATAACAACAGTAAGTGAGGAGCCTGCTGGGTATCCACGTTAATAGAATAAACTTTCTATATTGACTGCTGTTATAATTGTGTGCATTTGGAATTTTGGGGTGGGAGAGTATCCTGAGGCACTGCTGCTCAATGGTGTACTCATATCCCATACATGCTTAATTCTCAAAGTTTGTCCACCCACCACCTATAAACAATACATGTTGCATGATGATCCTGATTGGGGGAGGGAATGGGGATATTTGTGGGCCACAGATTATTATTAATACTGTCTCTGAAATAAACAGGTCTGGTTTACTTGTTGTTTGTACTGTGTTTTTGTCCGCCATGCTCAGAATTCTGAAGTTAACATATAAGTTTTCCTCAATAAATCAGTGCAGCGTGGACCTGTGAGTAGCATGAAATGGCCAGCAATTTCAAGGTTAAACAGAGATGTTCTTTTTCAGAAGTGTGTCCATTTAATCATACATAGTAACAAGGCCTAGAGCAATTTGGAACTGTGGGTATTGATACAGGATATGAGGCCAACTTTGCCCATGTAAGAATGAGAAATGTCTTATGCAACCCTGACATTTTATAAGTAGTTTGCCACGTTTATCATACTCTGGAATTTACCTAACCACCCATACATTCAGCCAAAAGAGCTGTAAATTGAACCCAAATGTCTAATTTATGTATTCACTAAAGGCAAATGGTAGGCAAATTCAATTAACTGAATCAAGTGTTCTAAATTAAAGCAATGCTAAAAACAGTAGCAACAAAAAGGTACAGATTCAATACAAGTATGGAGTTTGGATATGTATCAAACATTTGCATTCTCTGAGACACATTCAGAGATTTCTAAAAGCCCCCCTTTTTGCATTTATGACTGTCCAGTTTATTGTGATTGTTAACTCATGAGCTAGCTTACATGGGGAGCTAGGGAACATTGACCAGGTCCCCACTAGTAACAAGGGGTCCTTGACATCCTAACATGAAAACGTCCTACAGCCCGGTGATTGGGAAGGTAGCAAGTGGGGCAGCGCTTCCTATTAATCCTTACACATCCCATCATGGTGCATCCCTTGGGCAAATATGCCATTTTGTCATCTTTCTTTAGCAAAATTCAGGCAAATAGAAATATTTGAAATTCTGGGACAATTCAGCTTTAGTCTGATTTTGATAAATATTCAAATTCCATAATTGTATAGAATTTGGACTTTTTTTTAATCAACTTTGTTTAAGCAGACTCTGAATTGCTCTTTCTTGGCCACTGACTTGCCTTTAGTGAATACTTGCATTTTAGGACAAAGTCAGGAATATCTGGCAAACTTTGGAGTTTCTTCAAATTTCTTTAGAGAACATTACAGACAACTTGGAAAAAATATTTACCATTCATTCATTTATAACAGTGGTTCCCAACCAAGTCCTCAAGTACCCCCTACCAGTCCAGGATTTGGGGATTAACTAGTTGTGTCTAAGGAAAAAAAACACTTTAGACACAACAGGGTAATCCCTAAATCCTGGACTACTAGGGGGCACTTGAGGACTGGGTTGGTAACCACTGATTTACAGACTATCGCAACTGGCTTTGAAAAAGCACATATCTCTGTTTATGTCACATTATTGATATTAGTAAGGTTAAACATGCAAACTTTCCCAGGAGCATCAACTAATTTCTTCAGCTATGTTTAGTGCAAATTTCATAATTTGTTCTGCCACTTCCGAAGTGATTCTGAGATGGCAAAGAAGTGGCAGAAATACCTAAAACTCTCCTTCCTCAACACCTCCATGTTATGGACTTTGGATGTCTTCACATTTTTCAGATGAAGCCTCCAGGAGCCAAAACTGAAACTTAATATAGCCAAATCAGCAATAAGTTTGTATTAGGGGATCTTTTAAATGTGCAAGTATATTATAGAACTTGCAGTGTAGTCTAAATTAGTTTTTCACGACAATTCTATCTTTATGAAAAGCTCTAAAGGGACAGTCTTACAATATTTTGCTATCCTATCATTGCGATAAACTCTTATCAACATTACATTTGAATTAGAAAAGGGATAATGGAAAGGTGGAGCCAATGATATGTATATGATAATCAACAACACACATTTACAGTTCTTTTTATAGGCTACTGTTAAAAAAAGACAGTCAGATGATAAAGTTACTTGAATGAAGACAAAGTTTGCATTTGGAATAATGCATTGAAAGAAGTAATCATTGAATGTTAAAGTAGTGTCTTTTTATGTTTAAATGAAGTTTGCAGCTAATGAGAAGCCAGGAGTTAGGGATTTGCAAGGGGTGGGATTTGGATCCCAAGCATTGGATTAAAAAACATAGACTTCTAGGTCTTCAGTTGACTTGCACATTGTTGTTGTCTTATCATGAACTCTAAGGCTGACAGTGACACTGCGGTAGGTTGATTTTTTTTCTTCATTTCACAGATCAGGGATAGTTTCACTTCACTGTGAACAATTTTATCACATGCTTTTCGACAAATATTTATCCTGAGAATTTGAATTCTTGTTAAATATTGAATGCCAAACCTGAAGAGATAAATTATTATTTTGTACAGTTAAATTCTTACTACTATACTCAACAGGTTTAGAAATATTTTGCAATGTTTATAGCAGTCTATAATGCAATATCTATTATGTATGGCATTAGTGGAATAACTAGATGTTTTCAATTGGCTTGCTTGGGAAATGTATCATGTAGGACTTTGCATTGAAGTCCTTGCTTCTCTGTATGATGCATTTCTTGCAAGCTTGCAATTAAAGAAGACCACTGGTCTTGCATAAGGTGATTTACCATTTTTTTTAAAATTATTATTATTATTTGTGTTTGTGGTGTGTTGTTTATATAGTTTACATGTTTTATACTCTCCAAAATATGTAGGAAATATTTATAAAGGGACTTTGAGTTGTATTCCCTAAACAGGTAATTGTTGAGAATTAACAGGAGTATTGCAAATTTTTGTAAAACAAAAATTAAGATAAGCCAAATTGGAAAACTGACTCCAACAACCTAACTTAAAAAAACTTACCTATTTTTCCAACTCACCTGTTTTGGTATACATTTTGCAGAACCCTTAAATATACAGTTTTTTATCATGTTTAGCAAATATTCCTTCATGTTACAGGGACTCAATGTGACTTCCATTCATTCGTATCTGCCATGTGCGAAAATGTCTATTTATCAAGGCTTAGGGTTTTTTTTTCAGCAGACTGGCAAATGTTGAGAATTAAAAAATTTAAACTAAAAAAGTCCAATTGAAACATTCTCCAACTCGCCTATTTTATTGTGTAAATTTTGCAATTCCCTTAGTAATAGTCCCCCAATGTTACATTGAGGCTTTTGTGTTCTTCCTGCTTTCATTTGTATCTGTTATATGCTTTGTTTTCAGGGGCTCACTCTGAATCTTGCTTTATTAACACTGATTCTGGGTACTGGGGGTACCTTCCAGTATGGGTTACACATCTCACTCATCAATGCTCCTGCCAAAGTAAGTTATTCTTTTTGTCTATCTTTGTTCAAAATGATCTAAAGCACCTCTTTTTTTCCTGACAATAGTCAAATTGGACAATTTATCTAACGCATCTACATTTTGACTTTTTTTGGATCTATATTTTGATGTAAAAAAAATATATATATATATATTGATATATTTTATTTTAAAGTGTACAAAATATTAAATAATTTTAAGAGCTTACACAACAATATCACACCGAGGCCTATATGTACTATTCTCATCTAAAAAGAGAGTATGTGTTTGTGTTCCCACTTCAGTGTGTTTGTGTGCACGTATGCTTTTTTGCTAGTGGCCTCACAGTAATATTTGGATATGTGATTTTAGTCAGTACACAGCTATTTTTATGTATTGAAAGGATGAATCATTTATTTAAAAAAAAATTATCTAGTTATATATTGACTTTGGACAGCAAAATGTTTCATAGTCTTACATAACAGGCCTTTAAATGTTGGAGTGAGCTGCACACATTGTCAAATGTTTTCTATATATACACTATATGATTTTTATTGTTTTATTGTCTTCCTCATTCCAGTATATTCAAACATTCATCAATGGCACCTGGCAACATCGTTACGGATCATCCCTTCAGCCGGACACAGTCTTACTGTTGTGGTCCTTCATTGTGTCTGTGTATAGCATTGGAGGCTTGCTAGGGGCTCTGGCAGTTGGACACCTCTCAGTCACATTTGGAAGGTATTAACTTATTATGTATTGAAGTGTTGGGTAGTAATGTGAGCCATGAAATATACAACACCATAATTTGTGTGCTTGGCTGGATGTGAGCCAGAAGATATTTATTCTTTTCTAATACTTTCATTTTTTTTCTTTTAGAAAAAAGACTCAGCTTTACAACAACTTGGCTGCTCTGCTGGGTGCTCTTCTGATGGGAATGAGCCAGACCGCCCATTCTTTTGAGATGATTATATTAGGACGATTATGTTATGGCATCAATGCAGGTACACCATTTAGAACATATTTTACATTGCTTTGAGGGGTAAGCTAATGGTTTTAATTCTTCAGTCCTTGGAGTTGTAAATGCACCCTACAGTAAAAACTGCACTGCCAATTTGCATATGAAAAGCCTACTGTGTGTTTACATAGTATGGTAAGTGTGTCAACACTATCTATCTATCTCATAGTATAATATGCACATAAAACTAAAAACAGATATGTCCTGAAAAAGCTCTTTAACATGTAATTGTTCATTAACTGTGGTGTACTCTAATGCCTCTATTTATTAACTACATGGAAATTTAAAAAGACATAAAAGCCCTTTCTAATACTTGTTTGGCAGCCCTGTGTTTCAACTTTTAGGAATCACATTTACATTGAATGCAACTGATTTTTTACAATATCTAAAAGGTATGAAGGGGGGCATTTCAACTACAACAGCTTAATTGTAACCCAGTGCTAGGGAGTTATGCCAGTTCTGAGGACTAGACTCATATGAATTTCGTCTATGCAATCGTTTCAGTAAAGACAGTTCAGACAAAGCAAAATGTCACCAAAATGCACTTTTTAGTGTAGACTGATGCACCGATAAGTGCATTTTTGTGCCACAGATCAAGTGAAAAGAAGTAGCCAATATGGGGAAAAAGGAGAAGCAGTAAATTTTTTCCCATGTTTATGTATTATATATTTATTAATTAAATAATATATAATATATCAATATATCAATATTGTTTATAATTATTTTTTACTCCTCCTCCTTTTTTCCCACTTTGGTCACTTCTCACTTGATCTGTGAATAAAAGCAACAGGTATTGGCTGTCCCCTAACCCTCAATCATCTTTTTTAGCATCAACCATTCATTCCTTGTGTAATTTATTTAGTAATCAGCTGACTCGCTGATCGCCCAAAATTCATATGAATCAAGGGGCGGAGCTAAGCGGTTGACCGAGCAAGAATGCGGTTGGTCCACTTCAACCAAGAGATATATTGATTCCCGAGCCTGGAAACTACAGCAATCACACACCAGACCAAAAAAGCAGACAAGCCCGGGTATGCATATCAGAGATTTGTTCAGACGGGCTCAGGGCGCCTATGGGGCCAAGATGGCCGTTGACCTCGAGGACTTCTCCGATTCCTCTGAGGATCTGTCCCTAGACAGTAGGAGCCTGGGGTTGCACACCGATGCAGCCGGTTTTAGTCTCTGAGAGGGGAGACTCTGCCCCAGTGACAGCAGGGATTCTGAAATAGATGTTGGGAGCCCTCCAAAAAACCCTCCAGTCAGATGTAGCCCAACTTTGCTCCGACCTGACGAGTCTGGTAGGCTGCCTGGAAGAGGTCAAAACCGCCACAGAGAAGCAAGCTGTTTTGATGGCAGAGCTTCAGCTGGAAGTACAAGCACTAAAGAGACAGCAGGCACTCACTGACCAGCGCTTTGACAACCTAGAGAATACACGACGCAGAATAAATTTAAAGCTATGGGGTATACAGGAGGAAACTCCTGTGGCGGAACTCCCACACTTACAGAGACAGATGGTGGGGGTCCTGCTGGCGCCCAAACAGGCCAAGAACCTCACCTTCGACGGGGTCCGACATCAGCACCTAGGGACTTAGTGGTGCGATTGCACAACATGGCCGATAAGATGGTGGTCCAGGCTGCACTAAGGGGTAGAGCCCCGTTCATATTCGCAAACTTGACACTCGCATTCTACCAGGATCTCTCTGGAGAAACTAATATGGCGCATATCTATGCAGCCATTTACTACTCTACTCCGAGCCAACAGCCTGCAATACCGATGACGCTTGCCACAGTCCCACAGATTCAGCAAAGAGAGACCACCCACGCGGTACACGGCCTGCAAGAAGCAAAGATGCTCCTGGGAACCTTGGGTCTACTAGAGGACTCTATGCTACAACTTGGACACTGCGGGATTGCAGAGAACCCCAGATGGGATCCAGCGAACGTCCAATTGTTCACGCCACAAATGACCCTCTCGGACACTTATGCCATTGTCACCACCTGAGGCCAAAGCCCTCTCGCCCTCTGCCTCCAAAATTTATCTATGTATATGTTTACTTTTCTTATGTTTATTTAACAATAAGAGTATAGGTGCGATTGGTTATTTTTACACAAAGATGCTGTCAAATGATTTGGAAATACCCACGCATCGCTTCGAAAACTAGATAGGACCTCCCTCCCCCTTTCATTGAGAGCACAATCTAGTGAAACATGGGGGCATTAATCTTAAATGTACTCTAAAACCGTGGCCAAGGCTGTTGCACCCGTGAACCCCTCCAGCACAGAATAGCCAACTGGCCAAATTTACCCCGAGCTGTCTGATCTTTAACCAGCCCAGCCACTCACTTATCTGTCCCCCTAATTACAGACCTGACAATTTTCTACAAGCTAGCCTTAACGCCTCACTTTGCTCATAACAAAGCCGACACTACTCCAATATATGGCACCACAGAGCAGCACTCCTTAGTAGAAACTCGCATAAGGCAGGTACCTAAGTTGCCCAGCACGACGTGTCGCAAACAACCCGCAGGTTAAATTTATAGACAACTGTATTAGTATATATACCTGCTGGTCCACCGCTGTTTGTCTTGCCTCAGACTCCACAAAAAGCATAAAGCTACACCATATAAAAATGTAGTGCTTTACAATCAAATGCCACTTAAATGTTAACATCTGTACACAATGTCGCTTGTATATGCTGTTGGGGCATTACAGGCCTGTTTTGTTTATTCATGCACTGAAAAAAGAAAGAATAAAAAATAAATTAAAAAAATTCAGATGAATCATGATGAATTGCGAAATGGAGTGCAAAAATCTAGTGCAGTCTAGATCTAAGCTATGAAACTTAAAGGGAATCTATAGTGTTAGGAATACAAATCTGTAAATCTAACACTATGGTGCCTTCTGGTCCCCCACCTCCTCTTGCCCCTCCTACCAGGCATAAAGGGATAAAAATCCTTTATTTACTCACCGAACAGAGGGCAGATCTCTCTTGTCGCTGGGTTGGCGCTTATGCGCAGGGAGTGCTGCACAAGTGTTAGGCCCTAGCCAAAAGAAAGCATTGAATCAATGCTTTCTATGGGGATTTCACTGACGTTGGATGTCCTCATGCAGAGTGTGAGGACATCCAGCGTTGTTTAGGGGACTCAGAGAACGGTAAACTCCTGCAGCGCCTCTAGTGGCTGTCTAGTAGACAGCCATCAGAGGCACTTTTAGTTTCTCATAAATTGCAATGATTTACATTGCAGGACTAAGTGGGACAAGGACATTGCACCCAGACCATTTCAATGAAATGAAGTAATCTGGGTGCCTATAGTGTCCCTTTAACAGTGTTCAATTTGAGGTTTACCCTTTTTCAGGGAAAGTGGTTTGGGGTTAGTAAACTTCTCATGATTTATCTTCCTTTAGTCTGCCATTCTCTAAAATGTTGTTAGTAGTCAGTGAAGGAGGGTCCATAAGTACAGACGGGGCAGAGCTTCCGTCCCAATTTTTGTTGCAAAAAATCAAATCTATTGGCATTTTATGGACTTTTGATAAGTGTGTTAGAGAAAGCATGTGTCTGCCGTGACTATATCTGCAGTTTTCATTTTCCCCTTTATTGATGACTAGAAATGCAGTTGCTTTTTAACACAGCACAGCATCTTATGGGGTTATTTTGGTAGAGACCAACGGGGCAGGGCCGCAGTGCCCCCACCGTCTTTAAACTTTACCAGCTACCACTCGAAGACAAAAGATATACAAAACATGTTACTTTAATACTTGTTTTCATCTCAGAAAAATATGATGTTACATGCTAAATTTATTTACCTTTATTTAACTGTCACATTAGAAAGAGTTCATGACTACATGTTACATGATCTCTGGATCTGCCGTAGAGAGAAGTTAAGTTATGCAATGGCTTTTTACAATTAAGTTATTAAGTCTATATATATTTATTGAGAGAGAGAGACTTAATATATATATATATATATATATATAATTTATAGAATGTAACTGCAATATGCAGCTTTCTACTTACTAATATCAGAAGCCCTAAGTAATTGTGCATAATAGCATTTCTGGGAAGCTCCCACCCTACCTGAGTAGAATGCTCTCCCCAGCTGTTCCCACCTCCTATAACCTTCGATCCAGTACTAGCATGATATTTTGCATACCACAATTCAAAAATAAAGTGGCTCGATCCTCATTTTCCTGCAGAGCACCGCGATTCTGGAATAACCTCAGGGACACAGTCAAATCTTCATTCAATCTAAAATCTTTTAAGAGATCTATGGCAATATACCTCAGCACAGAATGCACCTGTCATGGTTAAATATACTTATTACCTGTTATGTGTTAAAGTTATACATGTGTGTGTATACATATATTGTTTGTATATTGTATTTGTAATATTGTACCCTATTGTATCAATGCAATGTTTTGTGTACACAGGACATACTTGAAAACGAGAGAAATCTCAATGTATCCATCCTGGTAAAATATTTTATAAATGAATTTCATGTCCTTATAAAGCAGGTGCGATATGAAATAAATACAAACTGATTTGCTGCAGGTGCATTTAGTTTGAGATAAAAATTAGTTAATAATCATATTGCAGGGATCATTTGAGACATGTATTGTTGTTGTCTTGTAGTTAGAATGAAAATCTGGAGACTGGTGTATTGATTTATAATCTGCTGTGTAAGTCACTTCATATCTTACATAGAATCATAGAAACATAGAATGTGACGGCAGATAAGAACCATTCGGCCCATCTAGTCTGCCCAATTTTCTAAATAGTTTCATTAGTCCCTGGCCTTATCTTATAGTTAGGATAGTCTTATGCATATCCCATGCATGCTTAAACTCCTTTACTGTGTTAACCTTTTCCACTTCAGCTGGAAGGCTATTCCATGCATCCACTACCCTCTCAGTAAAGTAATACTTCCTGATCTTCATGTTTTTCAGGTGTCAGCCTGAATCTCCATACAATGTACATAGGGGAGTGTGCCCCCCAGAGACTACGTGGGATGATTACTGTAACTGTGTCTTTCTTTATTGCTCTTGGAAAATTGATGGGTTTCGTCATAGGACTCAGGTAATTGAAAATAGACCTCCTTACTGTATGCCTTACAGATAAAGTCAGCTCGTATCCTTTCAGACTGTGTATCTCCCTCTCCATCTATGTGATTTACTAAGGCATTGCTCACGTTAGAATGAAATGGCCAAACCAAGTAAACATTGTTGTGATGGAGAATTATTCAAATGAATCTGTTTTGGCGTAAGATTTAAAATTCCCCCATCATGTTGGCTATTATGTTAACATATAGGAATTCATAGAATATTATATTTAATTTTTTAATACTAGCTACTTTTTGCTTATAGTAAGGGCAGTTACGCTTTGAAATTATTGGGTAAATACGATTATTTTGGCTCATTTAGTCAATACATTTTAAATGGTGAAAATATGAGAATTAAACTAAGAGGTTAATATGCTAAAGATATCATGGGCAATGATGATAAACAACAAACATTCCAATTTACCTCCCAGTGTAGTAGTTTAGTATTTTCTCTTTTTATTTACAATGTTTTGTGGGGGGTTTTTTGGTTTGGGTTTCTTTTGTTTCTTTTGTTAAGTTTTTTTTTTTTTTTTTAAACATATTTGTTGTGAGAAAAAAGCAGTATATGAAAAAAAAGGGAGTTCAATTTTTCTTTTTGTTTATTTTCCCCCTTTGAAATCCTGTTTTTGGCTAAGTTTGGACAACCCTGTTTTAGACTGTACAGACTACAAAAATTCACTAGCATTTCAGTATGACAACAATAAAGAACACATTGATTGGTTGGTCCACTTGTTTTTTTTAACTTATTTATTTGCTGTTCTATGTGACAAGATATGTGGTGCTTTTTTTCCTTTATCTTCTGTTCTTTGTAAAGCAGATCCATGACTCTCTATTCTGTCAGTTTACATTCTATTTTCATTTTAGGGAATTCATGGGCTCAGAGGAACTATGGCCTTATCTTATGGCAGTTAGTGCCATCCCTGCACTCATTCAGTTAGCAACACTGCCCTTCTTCCCTGAATCTCCACGTTACCTCCTTATTGACAAAGGCGATACGGATGGTTGTCTGAAAGGTAAGAGATTATACCTTTAAACCAATTGCTTGTGTTTTGTATATATACTTGTATGCCAGGCCCTCTGTTTGGCTTAGGCAAGCAAGGCACTTGCCTGGTGAGCTATGCTTTGCATGGCCCTGGTGGTGTGAACACCATGGCTAAGTAGCTCTCACACTGGCATGTCTGGGCAGAGCTTAAATGCTGTCTGCCTGGCAACTAGACATGGCAATACTGTTGATTTACAGTTAGGAAATCTGCCTGCCACGTATAAATACCGAGGAAGATGGCACCTGCGCTTTTATAATGGGCAACATGCTGGGGTGTAGAACGAGGAAAAACTATACTGCCCAGTTCCCAGCAATATGATGGCTGCGTAACATTGAAACATGCGTTAGGGGAAAATAATACCATATCGAGGGGGTACACAAAAAAAAAATCCTCAACAATATTATTTTTCCATAATATACACTTCACTGTTCTGTCATATATTTCAGTATAATACAAACATTGAGAGTTGGCTTTCTCAGATAAGGCAAGATTATAATGGATTAAGAGCTATACAGTACTTGTTTTGCACATGCTATTTAGGAGGACATTAAAATATATATTTTTTGTTGTTGTTACTGTTAAATTTAATCCTTAAAGTTGCGTTGTCACCCCCATATCAAAAATGAGTTTGACTGTGTCAGAATCTCACTGTTTTTCATGGTATGTGGGGACTAATGCTTTTAGCTGTCTTTGAAATTGAGCATGCTGCGAAAACAATATGGTGTTTTTTTCAGCTATGCAGCAATTGTGGGGTCCAGGAGATCACAGTCTGGAGGTGAAAGAAATGTTAAAGGAGAAGATGGCAATGGAAGGAAACCAGATAAAAGGCATGAAGGATCTCCTGTCTGATCGCTCTGTACGGTGGCAAATGATCATGATGGTGCTAACCTGTGGGGGAATACAGCTCATCGGGATCAATGCGGTAACGTTCAAGTATTTTTTCCCCTCCTAATTAAAAGATCTTTAAGACCAGTTATGCAATTCATATAGATTGATTTATATCAATTGAGAAGAGAGTCTTATATGTACCATTCTTACTTTTGTATTTTAAGGAAATATATGATGTAAAAAGGACCAACAATTTTACATAAAAAAAAAAAAAAATTATTAAAAAAAAAATAATATAAAAGTTACATGCTTAAAGGTTTCCTGCACTTAGTGTACTCATAGCCTCGTTGAACCAGGCCATGTGCAAAAATCATCACAGCTGCAGACTTTGTCGAAGTTGTACATGCGACATGTGTGTGCCGCACGCACTAATTGGACAAAATCAATCAAAACCGCTCAGAACTGAATATTTTGTCAACTTGACAACTCTGAGGGGTTATTTTAGAGCTGCAGCTATCTATGTAAGTAACAATTTCTTTATTATTTTGAAACTGAAAGTTAGTTCAGGGTGTTTTATGTACCATCACTTTTGTAATTATGCAAAGTTCTGATGTTGTTTGCAGAGTTATTCACTAGATTCTACATTTTTACATATTAAATCCATATAAAAAAACGGAGACAAAAATGAATAGTGAATAACTGTGTTAGAGTGATCGTTAAATTTTACTTATTATGATTTCAGAGTCCTTCACTGTCTTGACTACATAACTAATGACAATGTGAATAAGAGCTATATTTCCCCTGAAAACCAAAGACTTACAGAAAACATATTTTTATGTATGCATATTAGGGAGATCCATGAGAATGATGGACCAAAACCAGGGCTTCATATTTCTGATGTGTAACCTCCTCTCCCATTGATCTGACTGGAAATGAAATGATATAGTACAGAACATGAATAGGATTAAATATAGACAGGGGTGTGCCAATATAAAAAGAATCTACTTGTCCAAGGGACTAAAGTGACAGCCCAATCTACTTGTCCTGGTTCACAAAATAATTTAAGTTAGAAAGACTAGGACACACGTGCTTTGAGCGCATAGCAATTTGTCAAGACCAAATCTGGTCTTAACAAAGTGCCTTGTGCACGAAACGCGTAGAGCTCTGTAATTGCTAATAAAGATTTTGCACTATTTGAATGAGCAGTAGTGACTTTTCCTTGGTATTTCCAGTACCTATTCACTAATTAAGGGGAACACTGTCCCTGTGTGGGATAATGTGTTCTGCAACTCTAGCTGGTGAAGACCACATTAATCGCTCCCTTCTGGTACGATATTCATTGAGTTAGAATGCAGGTGTAAATATGGGCGGCTGTGCTCTGACTCATTATTGAGTGGCATACTGATAAGAAACGATAACCTTGGACTGCTCCTAAGGAAGTGCAGACAACATTCTACCTGTCCTGGCCCTGTTCTCTTTGAATCAGTCCTACTACATGCCTGTGGCAGGGCTTAGGAGAAAAGAAACAGCTTGTCCTGCACACAAAACTACATGTTCCGAGCATATATATTCCACATTCCTGGTAAGGAAAAATATTTAATATGTCAAAAAACACATACACATATTTGAAAGTGGAGTTTAGCTCAGAATATCCCCATCCTTTGCTCTTTTTTGGGGAAAATGCAGCTCATGCTAATCGCCACACATTTCTGCCACTTCCAGGTTTATTTCTACGCATATGACGTTTTCCAGAATGCAGGTATACGAGAAAGTCAGATTCCTTATGTGTCCTTGGGCATCGGCTTAACTGAAATTCTCACAACAATACTGTGTGTAAGTATCTGTCATGGTGTTTCATCTTCTCATTTATCTTCTTTACAATAAGCGACCCAGTTTAAGTATGTGCTTTGAACCATTTGTCTCCACAGTCTTTAATATTCCAAAATCATTTATAGAAAAAAATGTTTTGTTTTTTATTATTGCACCATTATACTTAAATGCTTAGCAATTGAAAGGAAGGCAACGCGGTTCTGTTTAGCCCTTGAAAACGTTTAACATTGATTTTCTTATTCACGGTTTAATAAACCTAGATGTTAAAATGAATCCGTCAGTATTTATATATTTAGTCTATACTTCTGTTGGCAATGACCGTTTTTGGATGGTCGCTGCAAGGAATGGCAGTGGGCAGCTTTTCCCACATATTTGTATTTCCGTATCTCTGTGTCGCTGATATAGAGTAAAGGCTAGATAGGAAAGAAAATTGACATACACTTATTCTGGGGACATAGATTTTGGATTGATTGTATTTTCATAAACTTTGTGTTCCTGTTCTGATGTTTGCTATTTTATTACATACCTGTTTATAACTGATTATTTATCCCACCTGCATGGAACTGCTTCTCCTGGGCTCCCTCCTTGTGCTGTGTAGGGGTCTGTCATTGACTGTCTTGGCAGGAAGGTCCTACTGTGGATGAATTATGGGGTCTTGACATTGACCCTTGCTTTGCTAACTACAACTCTCTCACTGCAGGTAATTATCATATGAACTGTGTTATCAGTTATGTGCTACCTGTTTACTATAGAGAAAGGAATGTTTTAGTCATCACGCTTAATCTCTATACATTTTACACCCACAGGAAAATTATAGTTGGCTTCCTTATGGATCTTCCATGCTTATCTTCATCTTCACATTCAGCTTTGGTTTGGGACCTGGTAAGTACCTGAAGATATGTAATTTTACTTTTTTGCGGCGTAGGGCACCCTCTCTAGAAGTAATTGTACCAGGAGTCCACTGGCATTGTCCCACAGTAAGTAGTCAAACCATTTTTGAACGGTTTAGCAGTTATTTTGGTCCTTATATTTGCTATAACTAAAGCAGAGTCTGCATCACATTCGACTATAATTGGATTAAATTATTTGGCTTAAAGTGTAACCTGATTGTCTCACCCAATGAAATTTGTCAAAACAAGGATAGGATTGATGACACTAATGTGGAATAGAAACTTCACCATTTTGCTTTTGCTAAATCATGTTCCCGGATGACTATTTACTCTGGAATAATGACATAGCACTCCTGCCAACATGACCACTACATGTTTCCAATACATGTTTCCAATACAGTTTTCAAGACTCTAGTTTAGATGCATTCTCATTCTCCTGCTCGTTTGAATTGCCCCAGTTTCCTCCATATAGTATTATGTGATGGCATTACCTAGTGTCATTCTGTTCAATTGTTGCAGTATGACTTACAAGGGAACAAGAGTATAGATCTTCTTTACTCTAGTGTCTATACCAGTAAACAACGTGTCCATAAAGAGAGCAAGGCAGATGGGCACTTTGTAACCTGGGTCCAACGTCCCAGGCTTCAGGTTCTGATCAGTGAAAAATGAATGTAAACAATAGAACAACATAGCAATATTTACACATTAATATAAGTTTCCTTTTCAGTGACACAAAATGTAATCATTAAAATGTCTATACAATCTGGCATTTGGTGCCTAAGCATTAATATCAGGCTTATACATGTAAATAAATATGCATATGTCTCTTTGTTTAGGTGGAGTCTCTTGTGTCCTTCCCACTGAGTTGTTTATTCAGTCATACAGACCAGCCGCATACAGCCTAATTGGAATAATGAACTGGATTGGGTTGTTCGTCCTGGCACTGGTTTTCCCATTCATCGAGGTGAGTCTTGGACTCTTCACAGTGCGGGAGGAAGCAGAGTTATACGAAGTATAAGTACATATGCCTAATATAAAATGCTGCTACTCTGGGAGCTGTCAGTAATGACCAGCGGGCCGCACTATGTGAGATGTTTCTGAAACAGGTTTTGGATTCTTTCAATCAGTACTGCCTGCATAGAATGGGGCAGCATTAACGCAAGCATTCTGCAGCACTAATCAGGGGTGGATTTGAATCTTGCGTCCCTCTATGCACAGGATTACTGGCTCTTTTCATCTCCTGTAGGTCACTGCATATTGGTCCTGGAAAATGTAGAACTTCAGATATTAGTGTTGTCAATTAGTGGGAAAATAATTAAATGTGAGAAAGTCATTGAAAATTGCTATGATTTAACTTTTACATTTGTCTTCTATCTTAGACACCGTAGGTGAAGTTAGCTAGGTTATACCCCCAGGTGGTATCTACAGGGTTAAATAAAAAATTTTCATAAAAGTGAATCTGCAGTGTATTTAATATTTTAGTCCTAAATAGGTGAACTGCAAGCATTGCTGACCTGGGTAAATCTCAGAGTTCTGCTATTGTGACCTAAAATTTTAAATTCACTTTGAATTTACACTTTACTGAATAACCCTGTAAATAATTTTTTAAAGACCAGTATTCCTGGTAATAAACTGTGATATCTGTATTCCTACGATTATTTTTTGAAGGCTCTAAATTTAGTGTGAAACATTGGTGGTTACATACTTCATATTAAGCAACAGATTCTGATCCTGAATTCACCAAACCTGTAGTGTCCCAGAAGTTTTGCTTATCTGTTATACTTTTTTGTTTTGTTTTTCACAGGAAGCATTGGGGCCCTTCTGCTTTATTTTCTTCTTACTTTACTGCTTTTTCATGACTGTGTTCACGCTCCTGATGTTGCCAGAGACCAAGGATAAAAGCATCATTGAGATTCTGGAATCCTTTAACCACCTCAACACGAGGGAGAAGAATCACATTCCTATCTATGACACTCAACTTTAAGATTATAGAGTTTTCCCATGCTTGTGCAACATAGCAGTTGAACAGTAAAACAGGACTTTATACACTTCTCTGTAAACTATTGTACAGATGCCTTTTTATAATGTAAAAATTCACAGGTGTCACAATGTAGGGTAGGAGTAGAGGTATTTTATTGAAGATCAAAGGACAAACAGATACGTTTCGGCCTTTAGGTCTTAATCATGTAAAGGCCGAAACGTTGTCATGCTTGTGCAACATAGCAGTTGAACAGTAAAACAGGACTTTATACACTTCTCTGTAAACTATTGTACAGATGCCTTTTTATAATGTAAAAATTCACAGGTGTCACAATGTAGGGTAGGAGTAGAGGTATTTTATTGAAGATCAAAGGACAAACAGATACGTTTCGGCCTTTAGGTCTTAATCATGTAAAGGCCGAAACGTTGTATCTTTTGGCCTTTGATCTTCAATAAAATACCTCTACCTTCACCCTACATTGTGACGCCTGTGCTATTGCTTGTGGACCGTGGATCACCCTCCACAAGACTTCAAAGTACTTTTTACTTGTGTGCAGTACTCCTAGGACTTTATACATTGCCTTTTATATTGTAATGCAGAGACTGTAGTTTAAATCTTGGACTGCCAAGTCTTGGAGCAACTGTTTTAAGTACTAGATTATGTGTTATTTTGAGTGTGTTTTCTAATGGGAATTTGTCATGATATTTATAAAATTTTGTGGGGGGTTTTGTCAATCAAATTTTTTATTGAGATGTTAGAACATAGCATCTGACTTTATAAAAAGTTGTTTACTTAATCTATCCTAAACGTTCTAAAATACATGTTTAGTTTGTAAAGTATGAATATTGTATTTTTATATAAACATATCCCACCAAACCTACTGTGTCTTTTATCTGATTACAAAAAAAGAGGAAACAAGCATTTGATTCTACAGTTATTTTACCAATTTCTAAAGGTTTTAGGTGTATTTTTGTCTCTTGTATTCTGTGCACTCTACTGGAGCTTACATAACTCGGTCCATCTTCCCAACAGTATGGTTTATTTGTCTGCTGAAGACTAACACCAATCAGAAAGCGTGACTACCTGTTTATTTATATGGATTTGGAAAATCACATTAGTAGGAGGAGTCACATTATGCTATTGCATCAAAAAGAAATCAACCCCGCTTCATAACATAAGGTTTTACATATTAAACAAACTACAGTGAAATAAACTTAAAATAGTATAGGACATTAGAGCACTGTCCCCTTAATTCATGTCATTACTGTTTGGTTATTTACTAATACAATGGTCAGAGTACTACGGATTATAGAAAAAAAAAATTAGCATGGAAAAATATGTAAAGGTCAGACGTGATGAGAATTTTCCTCCATGATAGTGATATCTTACTGTAAAATCCAATCAAATATTTGAAATCAAATATTTGAAACTGTTTTTATGACTAAGAAGGAGACTGCACTATACCTTAATGACACCAATTCATAATAGTGATCCAGGTACATTCACATTGTGTAACACTCAATGGACATCATCAGCTGACTTCAGGGACTATAACCATCAATAAGATGACATTATTTAAGTTCATAGAGTGTCCCTTTAATGAGGACAAGCGCCTTGTACGATTTGCTGTTAGTGGATTATGTTGCTCTTTGAAAAACATATGTAAAGAATACAAATTAGTGAAAAATGCAATAAACTATTTTACTGACATTAGTTCATTTTTTTTATTTTATCTTGTTTTTAGTTAAATTTTTATATTGATTACATCGGTCATTAAAGATATGACCCCAAAAAACAATCAAATACATAGGATACAGAAAAGAAAAACAAGGGGGGAGGGGAACAGACCATAACATTTTTGCCAATTGCATATAAATTTATAAACAATAACATCACATGCAGTATCATTTATTTCTCTTACGTATACTGCAAACCACTATCTTGCCTGACATTAGTGCATTAACCCTTTAGTGTGTAATTTCACTTTGTTCATAATATACTTTCACCTTGCTCAATGTCTGAATTGTAGATATGGCGAGTACTGTCTACATGCTGCTCAAACACTTTATTTCTTGCACTGATGAGTCTTTTGAATTGAAAAAAGCCCTGTTGCTTTGTAGTTCCTGGTCCAAATAAATTGCCTTAAGAATTGGAAACTGTTGGAGTGCCTTGATCATTTTCTGAGTCTTTTGAATTAGTCCTTTTGTACTAACCTACCATATTGTAATCAATTGCATAGAAGAACCACCACAGTTTGTAATGTATGTGCTTCTCAGGGCTCCATGCTCAGTAACCTGGGCCTCCCAGCCCTAACTCAGTTTGCCCTGGACTTGCCATGGACTGTTATTATGGTCCAGGAGTGCAAGCTTTTACTGACCCTCCACTATCCCCACACAAATACTAAGTGTTTACTCAGTTTGCAAGAAAGTATGTTAATCTAGGATGCTCAAATATTAGAAAGCTCCCAATGTCACTAATAAGTTCCATCCAGTTGAACACTTTACTTTTTAAATGTACTAATGGTTCATCTGAGAGTTCTATTTCTCAGCATAGTATGCACTGCCCACTGGCAGAGTTATCTGGAGCCACATAAATGGTCACTATTCCAAATCAAACAGCACCATGAGTTGTTAGACCTTTGCTCTGCTCTTCTCATTACAGGTTAGTGGAATTTAGGATACATGTCTCTGTAGTTGTTCATCTGTCTCTTCTACATGGCAGGGCTTTTTGCAGAACTGGTAAGCACAAAGGATTCTTACCTCTTTCACTCCCTTCCTTCCCTTCTTCCCTCCCTCCCTCCCTCCTTCCCCTCCTTCCCTCCCTTCCTTGCCGCTTTTCTTCCCTCCTTCTCTCCCATATTTTAATGCATGCTAAATCTGGAATCTGCCATTAATAAGATTTCCATAACGATAAAAAAATAAAATGCCCATATTAAAATAAAATTGCACATATTAAAATAAAATTGCACATATTAAAATTATTTGACAAATCCTATCTGATAGTTTCATTAAAAAGTGGTTTAGATTAAATCAAAGTAAAAATAAGAATATGGGTTTGTTAGTTTTTAACACATAGGTTTTTCTCTAACACTTTCCTTTTTAAGGGATTAAATAGTCATCTGGTACTCTATATTTATGCATTGAATCTTGGGAGTAAATAGCAGCTTGTGTTTGCTATGTGTTAGAAAAGTATCATACCTGCCAGCATTTCAAATGGATAAAGAGGGCACCCTAATTTTAGGGGTTTGACTGTGTGGGTGAGGACAGAGGCAGGGCTCTTATAAAACAAATGTTAGTGGCTCACTAAAAACAATGTATGCAAATAAAATGTAATTTAGAGCAAGCACAGTGTGTCTTATTTCTCACATGTGTATTGCAGTTAAAGGTACGTTAGTGATTACTTCTTTGAGGCTCTGTTATGCACTCACTCAAACATACAAACAATATGGAGCTCCTAGAAAAGATGGACATTAGAATAGGAGAGGCACAGAAAGACCTTGGATCAAAATAAGGACTGTCACTCCTAATTTGGAGGTTTTCAATATGTACAATTTCCTTAGTATTGTATTCTTGAAAGATCACAGAGGAAGAAGTGGAGGGCTGTAGGGAGTGAGTAGATATTACATAAGGTGTTTTCATGTTTCTTTAAGTACCAATCCATATGGAATCTCTGCTTGCCCAGGACTTGTGTCTGCATTTAAAGAATATTTTAAGTTTAATGGAAATATGAGGGAGACAGAGAACATCTGCATGCTTTCACATATATAACATCTCTTATGCATATTTTAACTAGCAGGTTTGACAATCTTTGCCTCTTGGATCCAGGAAAATCATTCTTAATTATCACACAAGGGAGTGAATCCTTGACAAATGAGTTGTTGTGGGACTATTTTCCCAAGTACGAAGTTCATCCAAAGTAGGAGCAATGCCTTTTAGTTTTCTTCCTCTTGACACTATTTTCCTAATCAGGTTCAACATTGGAGGATAATTCCATTGATTGTTGTGCTTGGGATTGGTACTGGAATTCCTTTTGGCTTTCATATATCAGTGACAAGTTCCTCTTCACCTGTAAGTAGAACCTATTAATCTTATAAGTCATATTCTAGACATCTACCATAATATCCAAGTCAGAATTGTATTAATAATTGGTTAGCCCAAAAACATAAAATAAATAAATGAAATTGATACACTTGTCATAAAACTACACATACATATATGATTGCAAAAATTATGGGCAGGGTTTGGGTGATGGAAAACACATTTTTAGACCAAGTCATCCAGTGCTCCTCGCTATTTTGTTACGTTGAACATTTTATTGATGTAATCCAGGTACGCAAATTGAGGAACTTGCTTAGGTTTTCATTTAAACAAAAAAAAATATACCTGATTAACAGTTCTAAACTTGCCGTTCTCAGGTGCATTTTTTTACATTTTTGCACAGTATAGTATAGTGAACGCTCTACTGATATGGGTTAGTTTAGTGAGGCATCCAGCCATGAAAAATAAGGGTGCTAGACGAGAAATACCTGAATCCCCACCAGGCACATTACAATCATAGAATTGAATAAATCCCAAGCACACCAAAAGTAATTGGTACTGACCTAGAGAGGTGAGATTCCCCCTAAGGCCAAGTGCCGAAACATTGGGGTTTATGTAGTCTCCCGTTCTAGGTCAGTATATCCTGTATCTGTTGGTATATGGGTTTATATGGTTAAGCACTTTATTGTCATTAATGAAGTTATGTATATATTTGCATGTTTTTGCATTTTTGTTTTGCACATAAGCACATTGTTGAAATGCATTTATTAAATAAATAAAACTGTATTATGTGCAATTACTTTTGGTGTCCTTGGGATTTATTCAATTCTAGCATTTTTGTCAATTCATAAATATAGTGAATAACTTTGTCTTTTGAATATTGAGTAATAATGGACCATATGCTTCTCTATATCACCCAGACCTGCTAGTTCTCCCGATTTCTTTGCAGTTTGTCATTGAATTTATTAACCAGACATGGATAAGAAGATATGGATCCACTGTTCCTCAGTCAACTGTCACCTTACTATGGTCCACCGCAGTATCTATATACAGTATTGGGGGGCTGCTGGGGGCCCTGCTATCTGGGTGCCTCACAGGAAGATTTGGGAAGTGAGTGAATTGTTTGACCTATAACATTTTTAACAAACATTTTGGCCAAGCTAACTGAGTAACAAATTGCATGGCCGCAGGGCAATATGCTGCTGAGTCCATTGTTTAAGATGTAGTGGATGAATAGCAGCGTATGTTAGACTTTTTGAGGTGTGGATGATGTGGATTACTGTGTGTGTTAAAGTAAAAAACGATCGTGTGAGGGTAGCCAAAGAGTTGAAGGTTGATAGGTATGGAAAAAAGAAACATATAAAACACGAGTATTATTAAACAGTAGTAGCAAATCCCATTTTAAAATAGCAATTAAAGTATTTAAAGGAACTCTATAAGGCCAGGAACACAAACATGTCTTCCTGACCCTGTACTGTTAAAATCACCATCTAGCTCCACCTGCCCCCTTATCAGTCGAAATATAGTCAAATATTAACTTTATTCCAGTCTGCTGCTACTGGCTCTACCCCTGATCTGCCTGCTTGGCTGAAATAATCAGAAGTGGTGATCTCAGCCAATAACAATGCTTTCCCATAGTCCCACTGTCAAGGAGGCAGATCAGGGGCAGAGTCAGTACAAGTCAAACACAGCCCTGGTCAATCAGCATCTCTTCATAGAGATGCATTATATCAATGCATCTCTATGAGGAAAGTTCAGTGTCTCCATGTATCTATGCACTTTATTGGGGAAAATAAATGTTCTGATATTCTCCCTTGCTATATCTCCCTTGTTCTCCTAAAGTTGGTAAATAACTATAGAAAAAAATATATCTGTATGCCTCCTAGCTAAACAACATTAAAGACATTAAAGCATGACAGTTCAGACATGACAGGACATTCAATGTAACATAACTGCTACTGCTAAGCTGTTGTTTAAAATATTCCTTTAAAGTTGTTCACCAACCACCAAGCAAGGGTAATCCAGGAAATACACCAAATATAGGTGTTTATATGTGCTCAATACAAACTAATACATATAAATGTTGTAGTACACATAATCTTTTATTTTAAATGATAAAACCATTTTCCTGAATAATTAGCAGACTATGAAACACATTGTTCATGATGTGCATGTCTCTCCTAGAAAACGATGTCAGATATTTACCAACCTGGTTGGAATCACAGCTGCTGCATGCCTTGGGTTCAGCAAGATGATTAAATCTTACGAGATGATTCTTATTGGAAGATTCCTCTGTGGCTTTAGTACAGGTAAACGCTGTCATTACATTATTAAAATGTGGGATTCATATCCCCTTATTGACAAACTTATAGATTTATAAACTTTAAAGATTTAACTTCACTTCCCAAAGCCTTCAGTAGCCATTAGATTGATATTTCCGGGGTACCTAATGTTAATGTTTGTGAATATTCATTAATTGTCTAAAAGAACTAAACTGACACGTTTAGCCAATAAATGAAGAAACAGGATCAGCACTGTTTCTGCAAAGATGCCATTTAGCTGGCCTTATGTCAGGATTCCCCCATATTATTTTCTCTCATTTACCTGTATGACTTCCGGGTTCTCACCGATCCAAATCCGCCCATGCGTCTGACTTCACGCGCTTTCCAGTCAAAAGGAAGCCACGGCTGCATTCACATTGCTCAATCAATTTGTTGCCCACTTGTTGCTAATTGCCGAGGGATCTCCTTCTATTGATCATCCGTGTACCAAACCTCTCTTACCTGGTCCAGACTACGCGGACTTCTCCTCTCCCAGACTCGGAACAGACTTCCTCTAATCCTCAATATACTTCAGGGTACCTTAATCCTCACTATTCTGGAAAGGAAGTCCACTCTCAACATCCACGGAGACCAAGCTAAGTTCTCCATTTACTGGGATTAATATTTGGTTCATGCCTTAAGTTATTTGGAAGGATAAAAGGGAATTCATATGTCTGTCCTCTGGGATCCTGTTACTTCAAAGTTTTTCTATTGAAAGTAACTAAATCAGGTGTTGTTTCATATATTATTACTGGAGTCTAAAATACTGTGAGATACTTACCAAATCATGATCCATTTTATTTTCACATTTACTATTGAAATCTAAAGGACTGTGTAATATTCCTTAAAACATGAATGACCTTTTTTCTTATCCATTATTTGAAGTCTACTGGACTGTATTATTTTAATCCTAATTAGGACTTACCTTCTTTATTTATTTCTGCTGAACTCTATTATCTGTGAAGCCAACCTAAACAAGATTTACCATTGCTTCATGGGATATTATTTTCAAGTTATATTGCTGCACAAGATTGTTAAAGTAAAAATACCTAAATTCAATAAATACAACTTTCTTAAAGCGAGAGCATCACATTTATTCTTTCACCTGCAGTTGAGTTCCAAATGAAGTTTTTCTAAAAGTATTACACCTTAGGGGAGGCTCAGTAAGACCCAGACAAGAGGTAAACAAAAATGGTTAAGCGACTGAAGACGGTTGGTTGCGTCGGCGAGAAGAAGAGAAAGAGCGCGCGCGGGGAAGCAATAAAAGACCATGGCACGTACAAAGCAAACTGCCCGTAAATCCACTGGAGGGAAGGCTCCTCGTAAACAACTTGCCACCAAGGCAGCCAGGAAGAGTCCACCTTCCACAGGGGGAGTGAAGAAGCTACATCGCTACAGGCCTGGAACTGTGGCCCTCCGTGAGATCCGTCGTTAACCAGAAATCTACTGAACTTCTGATTCGGAAGCTGCCATTCCTGCGTCTGGTTAGAGAAATTGCACAGGATTTTAAAACTGACCTGCGTTTCCAGAGTGCTGCCATTGGTGCTCTGCAGGAAGCCAGTGAGACATACTTGGTGGGCTTATTAGAAGACACTAACCTGTGTGCCATTCATGCCAAGAGAGTTACAATTATGCCCAAGGACATTCAGCTTGCCCGTAGAATACGGGGTAAGGGGGCATAAAGAATGGGATTGATTTTAGTAAACTCTCTAAATTGGTTTTAAATTGTGTTTGTGTTCCTTTGTTTTTATTGGTTTTTGTTCTGATCAGTTTCCTTTCTTCAAATCATTCCATCTATCACTCAGGGTGAATGCTTAACATCACATGCCAGTTCTGGTCTGTGTTGCAGATGGCAGCTGGTGCTTAGTATGTCATTGATCTGCTCACATACACAGTAGTGAATTCAAGCTGTACATTGACTAGAGAAGCAAATCTGTTCTAAGACTTGAACATCAAGCAATTCACATGCTATAGCAAGACTTTGACTAGAATGCCAAGTGCAGGAAACACAATCATTTGTATAGGTGTTTCTAAACATTGTGTTTTTGAGTTTCTGGTTTGAAAGTTAATGTAACATCACTCGTTTGGCATTTTTAAAGGCTACATTCAACTAGTTAGGAGAAATGCTTGTAATAGCGTTGAGGCCCACTTATGCATACTCTTGTTTAAACTTATCAAATCATTGGAAATCCAAGGTGCTTAACAGATCAATGTGTTAAACAGGCAGCTATACAACATAATGTGCATTTACAAGAGCAATTTTATATATTGTGTTTAAATTAAACAGTTTTACATAAAAAAAAAATGGTTAAGCCTCTTACTACCGAATGGGAGCTCCAGGGTACTCCTGGCATCAGCAGGCTGTAGTAGTTATGATGCTTGGAGAAACCTCTTTCAGCAAAAATAGCTTAAATGGAAGCTGACTTTTTTTGTTATTTTGGTCTTAAAGGGTTACTGTAACCGTTTTTAAAAGATACATTTTTTAACGTACTATTCCCTATTGGGCCTTCATGGCTAGGTCCCACCTTTTTAAAATACTGCAAAAAAGGTTTTAAACTTACCCGTAATTCAGCGCTGATCTCTACTCCTCCATCCAATGTCATCCTTGCACTAGCAAGGTCCAATGAAATGCTTCTCGTAGAGATGCATTTGACTGGACTGTTTTGCTGGTTCAGAGAGCAGTTGTCTTTTTGAGTCGCGGAGGGAGTGGGGAGAGGGATTTTTTTTTTTAAGTGATTTCACCCGTGGAGGAAGACAGGGGTAGAGTAGAGAGCAAGCTTCCCCTTGCAGGCACACTGCCTGCAAGGGAGAAGATCATTACATTTGTGGCCAGCGAGTGGTGAGCACTGACGACAGATGTCATTTTTGCACAGAATTTATATTAAGCAGCAAGTCACATGTGATCGTGGTGCAATTAGTCCCTAGCACAAAAATTATTATATTTCAGAAACGCTGCACAATCTTCTTCACTGAAGTTGTCATGGTGGTTGGAGTAACCCTTTAAATTTGAAATTCACTTTGAATTTCTTTCTTAATTTCTTAAAATTCTCACATAAGTGAATGGGCCTGTTTTGCCTATTGAAAACTGAATGCAACTAGTACAGCTAAAGGAAAGATTGGAAAACACCATATGCGCAGTATTTTTGTAGTTAAAGCCCTTATACAAAAAGGAATGTATTCCTGTCCTGTTGGGTATCGAAGATTAATAATGGTATCCAAACACAAACTGTCAAACTGGGTGAAGAAGACATAGGGGAATAAGAAAAAAAGAAAAGTGAAACTGTATCCGCTACTCTTGGGTTTAATGTCCATCCCAGTTGGAATCCTGCTTTTGACTTTTTTTTAATGCATTTTTTTACCATGTAATATTTTGTTAACATATACTGCCGACCCAACATTTGTGTTTTGCTTTTGCTATTCACTTAGTAAATTAGTTCAAACTGCATTAATATCCCAAAAATATGTGTTCTGTTAGATTCCATCTGTATAGAAATTTCCTTTATGCTACCTTTTTGGTTTTGGTGAAATTGCAAAACAAAATTTTAGATCTGGCCAAATTCTAAAATTGAGAGGTTTTAAAAACAAATCTTTATTTAAGAGACATAATACATCAAATATATGACATTAAAAAAAAACAGTATAGTGTACTCAAGTTCAAAGTTCAATTTTTGAAAACAAAAGAGAGAAATGTAAAAAAGAAAAAAAAAAAGCAGCACACTTTATGAAGCAGGATGGATGAGAGTGACACATATAAAACAATTTGAAACACTGCACAAAAGAGGCACTAGTAAAATGCAGTGCACAAAATATGCAAATGTCTAAGCAATTGACTCAATAACAACAACAGAAAAATAAACCAATAAGGGAAGAAGAGAGAAGTACACTGCGAGAGGAGAGCCATAGGGATTAAGTTTTTTGGTATGTGAGCAAAGTTCCTCTAACTCAAGCAGTAAGTTGGTTCATTAGTGGACTATCATCAGTTTTGGCATTGGCCTCATGTAATGAGAGCATCCCTTGCTAAGTCTATCATAGGGTATGGCGAGAGAAACCATCTAATGGCAGGATAATAAAAAGAAATGTAGGATTGAGGTCAGTCTTTGAAAAAGCTTTATCAGTAAACCTTTAATTTGACAACTTCAGGGCAACGCCATCACATTTTTATGTAAGTGCACCTATGCCCGCAGACCCACTAATAGATCTTTTTTTTTTTTTATGATAACCATTTTTTCTTACTTTTAATAAATATCTCTCCTTTTGCTTCTGCTAGGTCTTGCAATAAATATTTATATACAATACCTTGGAGAGATTTCCCCAAAGAACCTTCGAGGCTTCACAAACACCTCAGGCCCTTTGTTTGTCACCAGTGGGAAGCTCTGGGGCCAACTTGTTGGACTCAGGTAAAGAATAACCTCTATTGTAGGTTGGGCTTGAGAAACTGTTCAGGGATTTCTAGCAAGGTTGTACAAGTAGAACTTTTTTTTCTGTCCTTTAAGATTTATGTCATTTCATTACAGGTGGGTATTTTGGATGGTGCTGTTCTTTCTCTCAGACAGTCTGCTAACAATCGCCTTTAATAAGGTCATTGCTATCACTTGTGCTTTTATTGCTCCAGCTAGATCTTCTAGATATCATTGAACTTCAATCAGTTTGATTCAATAGCCTACTAAAATAGGACTAAATCATATTTTATCTCTTGTGATTATAAGACGACACCTACCTTGGATGTGTCACCAAGACAGAATCTTTATGAATAGATGTGACATGAAAAACATCTCACTGGTCCAAATATGCATGCAGTTCTTTCCAGCTGTTATAAGGATAGTCCATGATCTTCTACTCTCCAGAATGTCATGTTAAACGTGTTCCATTCTTTCAGGGAGACCCTGGGGACAAAGACACTCTGGCCGCTCATGTTATCACTTCCTGGCTTTATGCAAGCATTACAGCTAGTTATAATGCCATTCTACCCCGAGACCCCACCACACCTGCTACTGGTGAAAAGAGACAAGGAGCGTTGCCTGAAAGGTATTATCTGAAGATGCTGTACAGACAGACAAAAATCTATCAAAAACAAAAAAGAAACAAAACATAAAATAGTACAACTCATCTTTCACAGAGCCAACTCACACCATTTATTCTTCTGTGTTTGATAAAATGAATATAATTAATGCCTACATTGCAATCCAGAATTGTTATCAATAATGGTGTCTGATGTACGACTGGAACCGCAAGACAGTTATCAAAATTTTCACAAACATTTACCTACCTAAATAGGGAGACTTGGGAAGTATGGTATAACTTTTCTCTTTTGGTTTACTCTCATACAGGGCCGGTGCAAGAATGTTCTGACGCCCTAGGCCAAAAAAAAATTGCTGTCCCCCATATGTCCTGCCCACCATGTGACATCACAATGCCCCACCCATATGCTCTGCCATATGGGCCAACGCCAGTCTGGACAAAGTGTCTTTTATCTAAAAAGACAGTGTGTTTACATTAAAAAGCCTACAGGCACAGGCTATAGACACCAGAACCACTACATTAAGCTGTAGTGCTTCTGGTGACTATAGTATCCATTTAATGTGAGGTAAATTAGAGATTAGTGCCACTAATAATATATTGGATTGCTTACCTACAACCAGATGACAAGAGGCTGATGATGGGCTCAGTCTGGCTCCACAGGTCTGGTGTAGAAGAGGCTCTCTGGAGACTGTTTATGACAGTGCTCACAACAATTAATGAACAGGAAGCAGCTCCATTTTTTGGGGCCCCTTACGCAGCTAAAGGTCTGGGCCCCCAGAGCTTGACCATGAGTATGCCTCTAATGCCCACCCATAAATCCACCTACATAGCCCACCCATGAGTTCTCTCACAGGGAATGGAGTGAATGTGTGTAGGGGATGTGTTATTGTAGAGGATGTAATGTGTGTGTGTTCTTATAGAATGTAGTGTATAGGGATACCAATTTGTGTAAGGGATGTAGTGTAGAGGGGATGCATTGTAAGTTTCTTGGTGTGTGTGTGTGTGTGTAAGGGATGCAAGGTGTGTTTCTGTGTATGTAATTGAATGCAGTGTGTGTCTGTAAGGGGTGCATTTAGTGTTTAAGAGATGCATTTTGTTTCTGTGTGTAAGAGAATGAGTGTTTGTGTGAGCATAAGGGATGCTTTGTGTGTTTCGGGTGTGTCTGTGTGTGAGTAGGTTTGCATTGTATGTTTATGTGTGTGTGTGTGGGGATGGGGATGCATTGTTTATGTGTGTAGTGTAAAAGAGAGGGGTTGTGGGGTAGGATAGGGACTGAGAGGGGAGCAGCTCTTTATTTAAAAAAAAAAAAATCATAGTGCTCTTCCCTCCTGTCAATTAGTGATCTCCCCTTCCCTTCTGTCCCTCAGTGTTCCCCCCCTCTCCCCCTTAGTGCTCTTCCTTGGCCCCCTGTCCCTCTGCAGTCCCCCCTTGGTGGTCTTCTCACTCCCCCCTCTCCCTCTTAGTGGTCCTCCCTCTCCCTAGTGGTCCTCTCTCTCCCAAACCCCTTATTGGTCCTTGCCCTCCTCCCCTTTAGTGGTTCTTCCCCTCTCCCCTCTTAGTGGTCTTTACCTTCTCTCCCCCTCAGTGGTCCTTCCCCTCTTCCCCCAGTGGTCCTTACCCTCTCCCCTGTGCCCCGTTAGTGGTCCTTGCACTTCCCTCCCCTCTGCTTGAGTGGTCCTCCCTCCTTGGTGGTCCTTCCTCTCTTCCCCCCCACCCCTTAGTGGTCCTTAGCCTCTTCCCTCCCTTAGTGGTCCTTACCCTCTTAGTGGTCCTTACCCTCCTCCCTTCTCCTTAGTGGTCCTTACCCTCCTTTGGTGGTTCTTCCCCTCTTCCCCACCTTAGTGGTCCTCCCTCTCCAAAACCCCTTAGTAGACCTCCCCCCTCTTCCCGCATTGGTCCTCCCTCCTTACCCCCCCTTTGGTGGCCCTCCCCTCTTCCCCCCCCCCCTTAGTGGTTCTCCCTCTGCCAAATTATGGTGGACTGGCTGCACGCTGCTTCCCCCAGGTCCTTACTCCCCTCCCAGTGGTTCTTTACTCCCCCTCTCCTCTGTGGTCCTTACTCCCCTTCCTCTCCTCGGTGGGTCTTACTTCCCACCCTCCCCAGTGGTCCTTACTCCCCTTCCCTCTCCCTCAGTGGTCCTTCCCCCCCCTCCCCAGTGGTCCTCCCACTCCTCCCCCTCCCCGGTGGTCTTATTCCCCCCAGTGGTCCATATTCCCACCCCAGTGGTCCTTATCCCCTCCCCAGTGGTCCTTATTCCTCCTCCAGTGGTCCTTATTCCCCCCTCCC